TATGCTAGCATCCTTTTGAAATGGGGATCTTTCACCAAATTGAAAGGAAGGCATTTGCATAAAAACATTTACAAATATTTAAGCATGCTTCTTTCCTACCTTTTTTTTTTCAACATGTTATTCAAAGTATTGGTGGCCGACTAAATTTTGTCAATAGCTCAATACCACATTTATCATCAGCCACATGGTCCACATCAACATTTTTTGTTTTTTTGTCATGACTACATGCAAAATGATTTCACATTCTTGAAATGCCTCTCCAGTAGGCATTTCCACAATGAATGCATTTCAATTTCAACCTTGATGTTGATCCTCCATCTACTTTTTCACAATGTTCGCATGTGGGATAATTATCATTTTTTTATAATTTTTCATTGCACAACAAATTTTGAGGTGTAAAGAACAAGTCACAACCCTTATTCTTCCCAAATGCTTGTCTGTAATTGATATGGAAATACACGGCCCTTGTTCTTCCCAAGAGGTGATAAAATCTTAGGTAGGGTTTTTGTTTTTGTTTGAACAATAATAATATTTTAATTAGGAATTTTGCTAGTGGAACAGAAACATACAGTAGAAAAACATGAATCTATTCAATGAGCACTTACATTTGTATGTGTTTTAGGCAGAGGATAGATCAAAGTTTGGCATGACCTTCATAGATCCAACAGAAGATGATAACAGCTGAAGACTTTTGAAGAGCTATATCAGACCAAAAGCCATTCGCACGACCTTTGCAATTTCATAGGACCAGAAGAAGAAGAAGAGCTTCATAGAACCAAAGTTACGAATTGTTTGGAGTTTAGAGTGAAATAGGGTTGATCAATCGAGAAAGCTGAAGGGTTTTATTTTTTGAAATGACATTGTTTTGCAGTTTGAAGGTTTAAAAAAAATTAGAGGGTTGCACTTATTAGACGTATTGACACATCACGCATTGTATGAGATTAACATCTTTGGACATAACATATAATTACCAAAATTAGACATTTACATTGGTAATCAAAATATAATAATGAAAACAAAAGATGCATAAAAGTTTTAAAAAAGAGATTGAGAAAACGATACCAATCATTTAAATTATATATGTTGGGTACATGCTGTCTAAAAATAATTGATGATTATTGACTATTATGATGTTTTAGTCTAAAAATTCACACTAAATTACTAGACATAACAATTACGTATCATAAACTACTCATATCTTATAAATAATATATCATTATCACAATTTTTTTTGTGATAAATTATATAATTTTATATAGGGAACACAATTATCTATAGTATATCTTCAACTTGTTCGTGTCCTATATTTTTTAGAAATGTTGTTTCCTAGCGTGTCATATCCGTGTCTGTACTTCTTAGGACATAAGATTTTTTTTCCAGAAAGTGACGTAAGATTTACTTCTCATAAAATACTGAAGTTCTTATGAATAGTACTATAAGCATTTCGTTATTGTGATGAATTTTATAATTTGACATGTATAATGTAATTAGTCATAGCGTGTCCGTGACTTGTTCATGTCCTACTTTTTAAAGATATGTCATATCCGCTTGCCAATATATGTCGTGTTCGTATCCGTGCTTTTTAGATACATAGTTTTTTTTTTTTTTGCCATTGAAAAAAGGGTGGGACAAAGGAGAACGTCCAAAGACCACCCCTTAAGATCATGAGGTTCCTTACTATGTCCTTTACTCCTCTCGGGAACGAACCTAGTTAGGCTAGCAATGTGGTCAACCACTGAGCTTTAATGTGGACTCCAAGACTCGAACCTTCACTAGACCACCCACTCGGTAGTTTCTTAGATACATACTTGCTCGTCAAGAATTACATCTTTTAGGAGAGCTACATGAACCACCCCTGTTTCTCTGACTTTGAAACCAAAAGAAGCTAACATAAGTGATGTATAGGAGGTGATAACTGATTATTGAGGTAAAAAGCACCGTATATGTTTTACCACCTTCCTAGTGCTAGCGTGCGTGAAGAGCTGGACATATAGGGCTGTGGATGTGCTGAAACCTCTTCGCAGAAGGTGAAAGATGCTCCTTGGAAGGAAATGTGTAGTACAATGCAGAAACTGAAGATAAAGAAAAGGGATCGAATTTTCTCTGGCTAAGTAGCTGCTCTCTTTTCTCAAATGTCGGCTTTCTTGTTCTTTATCTGGAGAGTATTTGTTATCCATATTTTTGAAAAGTAAGGCAACGATGATTAGGTACCGTGCCAGCCAACTCACACTTGTTCTAGGCTTCCATCCAACTCACACTTGTTCCAGGCTTCCAGCCAACTAATGATGTTCTTGACATATAGCTTCTAGTCTAGTTATTAAGTTGATTTTGTTGTCATGAGGTACCTATTTTCAAAGTCTTGTCAAGATAGTATTTATTATGTACAAGAGAAGGTTGAAGATAGATAGGAAATGCAGTTACGAGACCAATATTGGGTGAATCCTATGAAAGTTGGTATTTATAAGTCCATGAACTCGACAAATTAACAGTATGACAACACAAACACATGCACAAAAATTCAAATAAAAGTATGATATCAAAGTACTGGTAATAGTTTGAACTTCTGTGGTTGTCTCTACGCTTTTTTTTTTGCTGAATTGTGTAATTACTGTGACCTATCATCGATGAGTTTGTACTCAGCCTGTCTAGTGAACCTAATTTTGCTTTAGGAAGTACTCATATGATTTGAAATAAGGAAATCAGATAATGATTTTAAACATCATTCATATTAATCATACTTTGGATTTAAACATGGTTTGTTGGACTGCTAGTTTGTCTTCTGAAGTTATGGCTATCCTTCACAGCTGCATCCAAAACTGCAAGTCTTACAGAAATGATTGAATGTCTTTTCTGGAAAATGGATACCCCATAATAATGAAAATAAACAGGGAAATAAACGCAGTCTCTCTTTATTGGCAATTGCTATAGACATCACATTCAAAAACTTTAAGATAACATACTGGTTACATTGTTTTTATGTACCAGTTTTTTAGGGTTGGTAAAGTTTAGTTTCTTGTATCCTTGTTGAGGTTTTTTTTCTTTTTTGGGGTGATTCTTGTCTGCAAAGTTGGATTATCAACACTCGTATTCTTGATTGGATTTCAGCATATGTATGTGATACACGGTCCCTATGTGCTCCTGTTTATCGTGGTCTTCGTGGTTTGACTTCACATATCTAATTGGTAAATGTGAATGAATTTTGTAGGGATATACGAAGCAACTTCGTTGGAACGTGCTAGGAAAGATTCTTTGCAGAGTTCAGATAGATCAAATGGGATATTTGAGGACCAAATTCAGATCTCTACTCTTCCAACTTAATGTGTGACTAATTTCTTACATGCATAAGCATTTTCATCTAATAATTCCATTAATTTGATCTCTAAAATAGTATCTATCTATCTTGAAACTCAGTTTCATTTTAGAAATATCCACAAATCTGTCCCTGTGCCACTGCAGGGAAGGGGGAAGGGGATGGTTAATTTTCGTATCTTGACTGACTATATTTTTCCCTGCAGCAGCATCCTAACCTATATCACGAGCAAATTCACGGGAAGCAATTGTTGCAGACACGTTGACTTGTTTAGTCCTAGTTCCTGTGATGAACTGCAAGAAAGTTACATTTCTTGCACTACTTTCCAGGGAAGACTGGGCAAGTTGATGATCTTTGAAGTAAAAGTAAACTTCCTTGCAGATAACTGCCTAATGACATTTTTATGGCACGAAGATTTAGTATGTCGAAATTGGGTTCTGAAGGTTGCTTACCAGACAATTCAATTAACCTCCACTGCTAACTGTTTCAAGCCCATAGCAATGGGTTTGCCAAAAAATACTTGTACAGACAATTTGCTGCAATCAAAAGATGGGTATTCCATTTTCAACTTATAAAGGTGTTTTTTTCTGTTCAGATTCGTTTCCCCATTCATTTTTTTGTACATGTATAAAGCTGATGGGATCGCGTTGTCGTATGAATGCTCTAGAGGGGGAAAAAAAAATCATTTGTATATAATGTGTATTCTTTTAGAGCATTGGCAATGGTGCCGTGTTTTGCAAGTTAAGGTTATAGGTTGTAAAAGTCGTAAACCATGTATCTAATAAAGTACAATACAATTCAAATTTTAAAAGATAAATAAAATAATTTTTGTTATTCGTGGTTGAGTTATCTTTAAATTTTATTTAAAAGTTAATCTGATGATTAATATTAATTCTTCAAATTTAATAGAAAAAATAAAATTCTAAGTTTATGTTTGAGATGATTTTTTAAAAGTAATTTTAATACTTATAATTTCTCATAAGTTTTTTTAAAAAAATTGTGTTTAGAACAACCACTATCATAACCATCCCCATCACCCCACTCCCATCACTACTACCACCACTACACTGCCATCATTATCACTATCACCACCAATGTCACCTCACCTTACCACCAAACTATCCCCCCACCGCCACAATCACCACTACTATTATCACTTCTATCTTCACAACTCTACAACAACATTTATCACAACCATGACTACCGTTGTTGTCACCAACAATGTCTCCACCCCACCACCACCACCACCACCACCCTCTGCCTCACTATCACCATCACCACCCCCACCACCCCAATCTACCACCACCTTTGCCACAACAACCACCACTGTTCCTACCATCGCCACCGTCGCTACTACCACTTTGGCCACCCCCCCCCCCAAACGACCATCAACACTACCACCACCACTGTCGCCACCCCACTACCGCCACTATCACCCACCATTACTACTATCGCTCACTTCCATCCACCATTACTACTATTGCTCACTTCCACTATGATCAGTGCTTAAATTCCTTTCTCTATTCTATGTATTTGTAATTTGATTTTACATGTAAATATAAATATATTTATTATTGATTATTTTTTTTTATTGATTTGTAGCTTAAAGCACAAGCAATAACTAATTCTTCTAAATGGCATGCTGTTTGTATGGTCAGCCATATTGCAATAATTGAAATCCAAACAGAGACGAGTAACCATTTTGGGTGATAATCAAAGAAAACAAATTTTCTTGATGCTATAAAGGGAAACAAACTCTAGAACACTAGTAATTCCCTTGACTGATAATTTTCCCTCGGACTGACTCGTTATTTACGTTTATCATCTTCTAAGAAGTTCAAATTCATTGTATCAGAGGGAAAAAAAATCCATTGTATCAGCGTTAATCAATCATGTGTTTGGTTTCCTTTGGGCTTTCGGTTAGTGCTTTGGTGATGAAATGAGTCAGAATTCCAATAGGACAGAAAAGAAGGCAAAGAGAAACAGAATGCCGAGTCTCGATTTTGTTCTCCAATCCATCATGAAAAACCTGCCTGGTTGAACGAGGAAATGCCAAAAGTTAGTCTTCCAATGCGTGTAATGCTGTGGACACAGCACACACAAAACCACAGAGAGAGAGAGAGACCTTGCAGCAAAGAGATCTACGGCCAATAGGTGAATCCATGCAGAAGCAAGTGTCATCTCACTGGAGAACATCTTAGCCATGCCAGAAAGCTGCACAAGTGCACAAGAAGAGTGAAAATGTAGGAGGAAAACAATCGATAGCTTTTCAAAACGAAATTTTGAATCCTTAAAGATGTAGGAAAAGCACAAAACAAGTGGAATTTTTACGTGCAAGCTTCACACACACCTCTGGTAGCCAGTATTTACTTGCAAACATCAGCTGTATTGTGTCCGGTGTCCAGGAGAGGTACAATAGATATCCATAGAGAAGTCCAAGCACAAGATACGGAATACTACTTTCCATAGACTTCTTAGTCTGCATGCAGAAAATGAAATAATTCCATCCAATTAGGTGCATCACTTGATTCAAGGTGATGCTTCAATTATCCAAGATATTTGTCATTTATCAAGATTTCAGTGGCAACTTCCAGGATTCAGCAACTAATTGACAAGTTAAAAATTTCGATTTCAAAAATCTTCTATGTTTCTGAAAATTTATCTCGAATGGATTGATAAGTATGACATTCATCAAATATCGTACAATTGATAGGTAAAAAGAGAAAAAGAACTTAGAAACATTAAAATAAAAATGTGAGAAAAAACATGACAAGCATTGTGCATCGTAAGAAGGAAACTTTTTGTGAATCTGAAAATATTATATACAGCGAAGGATACATTTCAATAAGCACCAACTATGATTATGAGACAGGGAATTTTTGCAACATCAGTAGGAAAATTAGAGAAGGTTGTCAAATGAAAGGTAATTTCAAATAAATGGGAAATCTTACCACTTCAGCTTTTGGAGCCAGAACCATGAGGGTGTAAAATGGAAGAACGGCTGCAGTCGCCACAGTAAAAACACTACTTGCAACTTGAGAACTTTCCAACCCTGCATAGGAACAGAATATAAAGATCAATTGGTTTCAAGTAACATAGCAATATGCCAAAAAGATGCTTCAGCTGGAGTACAAGAATGAGAAGCATCATGAGTTTTTATCATTTATTATACTTATGTACAGTAAGAATTTTTAGCTTGTAGTGCCATAAATGTCGAATACTGTTGGTAACTTTAAGGCATCAAAATCCATCTGTAAGTTTAGAGACTGATTACATCTAAAAAGCCAAGTGCACAAGCCACTTGTGAGGAAGCAAAATTCTAAAAAATAAAAAACAGAGGAGAAAAATAGTTTTAAAGTGGTTGGAAATGGGGTTTCTTTTTTTGACTACAGACAGAACACAATAAGTGAAACAACCACTTTATATGTTGCAAACAGAGTAGGTATCATCTCTCAAATTGAATAAAGGTCCAGCACAACTTCATCCTTCAGCTTCCCACGGTAGTGAACAGCATCAATACTAGTGAAGCACCTAGCCAGCAGAGGAAACAATTGATGCAGCTAAGGCGTTCAATCTTCTGCATGGTTGTGTTCAAAAAAAAAAAAAAAATTTCTTCTGCATGGTTTACTCACTAATAAATATCTAAATCTCCTGAGGGAAAAGGGCAGTAGAAGAACTTAATAAAATTTAAGGAACTGAACAAAAAACACGGAGTGGTTTAGTTATTAGCTCAGGCTGTTAAATTCTGATGGGAATATCTGATAACTAGATTCAGCCCAGGAATTTAAGTGAGACTTTTGATTAGAAAAAATTTGCAGATTGTATTTACATAAACAGAATGCAAATAAGAATTGAAAAGTAAATAAAACACAAACATATGGGGAAAAAGATAGTAAGCAAGAGAACATGCTACCAAGATAACATAGCAAAAACTAGATAAGGATATTTGACATTGGACAGGCACGTTTGTTAACCCGCCTCCTTCAGACTTTGACTATGATTATTACTTTGAAAATTATTAAGTGAAAAGAATGCCCAAAAAACATTAACCCTCTTTAGTCTCCTCATCAAAGCTAACTACATCAAAAGTCCAGTTTTGAAGAGCTTAGCGGCTTGCAAGTTGGGATGCACTTAGAGCTATGTTCAAGGAAATTGCCATTGGTCTTAGCTACATACGATTGGAATCATATAGACTCCCAAACAACAGATAATTCAGGTTAACATGTGAACATAATACACCCAGAATTAGAAAGTAAGAAAGATATCTTAAGAATCAGAAAGTAAGAAAGATATCTTAAATAAATGTCAAAGGGACAAGTTTAGTAGTTTTCATCTTCAAAAACAGCAGCACCAACTACAAATCATATTGGATGATTTGAAGAAGCATATATTTTATCACATACAGACATGCAATCATAAAAGAAAATTTGATATCAGTTATTACTTTTTCTTGCTCCATACTTCGTCCATAATCCTTGGTTTTAGTTTCAAATTTTGAAAGCTCAAGTTTCAGGCCAGAAGAGGTTTTACATTCTTGCCTGAGCACCCCCTCTTAGAAATAAAGAAGTTTAGAAATGAAATTACCAAAGGTAAATGGTGACACTCGGGATAAATTCACTACTTCTGATTCACACATCCAAGGACAAATGAAAAATGACTGCTAAGCAGAATAAGTGACATGAAAGGATTACCTGAAGCATGAATTCCAGAGCTTTTTCTGTGAAGAACGAATCTTGCAGGGTTTGGTGCAATAACAGCTCCTGAGCCTCCTATAAAACTCCAGTCACTTCTCAGCTTGCCTCCTGTTGCCACAACTGGCTGGCCAAAAAGTTTAGTGTTCATACCTCCAAGAGGAAAAGTGGATCCCTGATCCATTCTGATATTACAGCAAGGTCTAGTAGGCAACAATGATTGGTCAACCTACAAAAAGAAGGCCCCAAGAACTGTAAGGAAATTATCATGGTCACACAATTCAAGAGAAACAGCTAACATCTAACACTGTCACACTTCCTGTTTCGTGGTTTGAGCATTTAGAGCTAACATAGACTTGTGGTTAAATTTAATAGCCCAAAGAAAAAGATAATAATCTAACAAAAAAGAAGTACAGGTTGGAAAATAGAACAGGGTGAACATCGGTTAGCTGCTTAAACTGATTAACTACCACTCATGTGCAACAGTGAATTTTTAGAAACATTGCATAAGCATTCTCATCTAGTATTTAGGTCATTAGATGTGGATGATTAATACCTGAAAATAAGAACTCGACATGATAAATATAGAAATTGTATGTTTCAAGGTAAAAGTTAAGCCAAGAAGAAATGTGCCTAAACAGGTTAGTTTATCTAGTACATCTTGCAAAAAGTACCTAATCATTTTTTTCTTTTGTTTTGGTACATCCAAATAAGTTATTCTGAAGAAAGTATTAAAAAGAAAATTAATATTCAATTTTGAGATGGATTTAAAAATGTCAAGAAGTATAAAACCTGAATCATTTCTCTAAGAAAACCCACCAAGAAGGAAAAAACACTGCACTGTTGCTATAATTTCATGATTCCTGTTTCCCCTTTCCATTACAGAGAATTCAGCAAGTCTCACAATTGAATAAGGTTACCCAGTGACCCATCATTTTGAATCCACAATCCAATTTTTCAAAAATTTTAAAGAACCAAGGAAAGACTCTATTTTTCAAGGGCTGTTGAAGGTTGTAATTAGTGTCCATTTATGAAGATTGCCCCCACTCAACCCGAACAATGTATTTAAATATTTAATAGGCTACTAATCAAATTCTACTGCGACTGAAGTGACAGGTCGTGGCTCCGAACCCCGTCCCCTGTAGTGTAACACTGTAACTTACCGGTGCGTATCAAAAAAAATTCTACTGGCATTCGTAATAGATCAACATATTATATGCCAACACAACAGTATCAACCAAAAGGCAACCATCTGAGTCTCAGATCTATCCAGAAGATAAATTGCCAAAACGACCCAATCCAACATATGCCAAACACCCAATTCGGAACAACCACAGATTCTTCAAATTTATTACAGCAAAAAAATATATTTAAAATTTGAATTTCGACATCTGAAACAAACCAAAAGTAATTGCCCCAGATGCAGAAAACTAAGCAAAAATATCAAAAACCCTAAAGTAAAATCGCATAAACGGAATGTAAAGATATAAAGATTTACAATGCAAGAGCAGAAAAGCAATACCTTGAACGAAATTTGACAGTGGAAAAGGCAAAAAGAGAATGCCATACTTGGTGGAAAACTGGAAGACTGAACAACAATGTCCTCTCCATTCGCTTATTATGGACTGTATATAGAAAACAAATAATGGTGATCCAAGATTTCTCTTTTTAGGAACGGAGTACAGAAAGGCAGCCTCAGAGTGGAAAACAGAAAGAGTGGTCATGGTCCATTCATGGTCATGGTAGGTCGAAGCGCACTTAAAAAGTGGAAGTACCACTATTAAATCCTAAAGCCAAATCAAACCCCGACAACATCGTTGTGATAGAAAGTTGATTTCACTTAAATCTCGACTGTATCACTTCTCCGTAAAAATCCACTTGACCCCCTGTGAGGTTGTGGTCAACTTGGAGAGTGTTAACGATGGACTTATATGGAGACAATGGTGAGTTATTGGTGTGATGCGAGCCAATGAGATTGCTTTGTGTAGAGAGTTGTCTTTCGGAGCGACGGCAGTCTGGTGAGCTTCCGAAACCCGCCATCTTTACAATTGTCGCGTGTTATATTTTATTTGTCGTACGACTTATTGTATATGAATAATATTAAAAATAAAAATTATGTTAAACCGTAAATTTATCAAATATTAAATAATTGAATATATGATAAAAATAAGTGATATGATATTTTTAAGAAAAAAAATATATAGGGAATAAAAATTCAAGTTATTATGTGTTTTATTATATAAATGTTTGTAGTCGGATCTGTATAATATTAGATTTGTATGTGTCTAGTTTATACATAGATATGGTTTTGGTGCTATTTGATAAAACTGAAAGGTAAAATTTAAAAATTGAAAGTTGAAATTTTAATTCATGGACTATGTAGTATCTACTGAAATTTAAGTACTGAATTGAACAAAACTATTTGATAACTACATAGAGTTAACGTTTGAAAATAAATTAATTTTCAATTTTATTCTTCCACTATTTAATTTAAAAATATTTATAAAATATGCTACATTTAACAAACGTGATAATAAAATTAATTTAAATTAAATTGATCACTTAAAGCTGTCAATTGTCATAAATTTTAAAAATTAAAACTAGAATACAAATCAAGAGTTTAGTTGTCTTATAATTTATTCACGCAAATTAAGTATAAAAATTTGATCACAATATCTTGAACAATAATAAATTAAATAACACAATAAATGAACAATAATATGTGATAAAAAAAAGAACAATAACTAATAAATAATTAAAAAATATTAAAAAATAAAATAAAAGGGGTGTGTGTGCACAACGTATGTGTGCTGTGCATGTGTGTAACTGTGTGTGTAGCACATGTATGTGTGTGTATGTGTGAGTGTGTGTGTATATATAATTATGTGAGTGTGCAGTGCATGTGTCTGTGTGTGTAGTGCGTTTGTGTGCATGTAATTACGTATGTATATTTTTGTTGGACAAGACAAGGGAAGGGAAAAGAAAGAGAAGAAGACGACAATGTTATTTGTTACTTACTGAAGAAGATGATTGGGTAAGAGGATAGATAGGTTAAAAATTTTGGAGAGAAGCTTAATTAGAGTTTTAATAAGATTTAAAATATTTCGAGACAAAATTGTCATATGGTAAATATTATTAAAGAGGTTTTGCTGAGAACTTTCAGCTTTTGGAATTAAGTAAGAGTTTTTTTATTTAATATTATAATCTATTTTTAAGTAGTACTTAACATATTAAGAGAGTTTAAATTTTAATTATCAAACAACTTTAATTAATAAGTGTCGAATACATCTATATTATTATTAATAAAAGGAAGTTAAGTAAAAAACTTTTGATTACCTATTATGTCCTTATAAAAAAATATTAAAGGCACCTATATCTTTATTTATTTAATTACTTAATATTAATTATATATTCAAATGACTTTTCATATATTTCTATTTCCACAAAAATTATTGTTCCATGTATTGCACTTTTTTTTTTATTTTCTAATTACCTAATATTAATTATATATTTAAATGACTCTTTGTATACTTCCATTTCACAATAATTATTGTTCCATGTATTATACTTTATTTATTTATTTCTTGAGTTAGTGACACTCTCTCTCTCTTTCATTTACTTTTCATAAACTTTGTTGTTTACAATAAATCGATTAATCATCTTTACTTTGTGAAAAATAATAGATTATCATTAATACAACTATTATGCCATTGATAACCATCATAAAGTTTATTTTATCATTTATCTAATTGAATTAATGTGAAGCTTTGCAGGTACAAATTTCTTGCAATAAATATATTAATTAATCAAATGAAATTTGAATCATTTCATCTTTCATTTTATGACTACGTGGATAGCTAATAGTCAAATATTCAATCTCATGAATTTCAATCATAAATTAATAGTTACTATTCTATTTCTCTCCCATACTCTCTAGGGGTGTTCACCCTACCCTGCAGGTAGGAAATATGCTCTTCCTTCTTCTTACCCGATATTTTGTGGAAGAGTTTTTTCTTGGCCTACCCTACCTTAAAAATTTTCTTCTTGATTTGTTAAGTGCTTTTTATTTATGAACAAACATGATCAATGGTGGAAGGTCACTATGAAAATGACACCTTAAAATTTATTTACTCTAAATTGTATATCTTCTATGTATTTAATTTCCATGGTGAAGGATCATTTTTTGTTTAGCATTGCAACTCATTTTGCATATTTAGCATTATATCTCGTGTGTAGAAAAAATTATTTGATTATTCTCATGCATTGAATAATTAAAACGAGATCTTCCATCATGTGGATCATGATACAACTAGGTTTTTTGAATTCTCTAGGACATAAGGTACCAAATACTAATTATTGACAATATACATTTTACCATTTGAATGTGATAAAACAATATTTTACTATGTTCATTATAGATTTTTGTGGGTAATTCTTTTTCTAGGATGTTCATGAAGCATATATGTCATTTCTTTTGAAGCGTAATTTAATATTTTTCTTTTTGTAAATAATTAAGCAATTAATGTTCACCAATTATTTATTTTTGTCATCGAAAATATGATAGTAAATTTTGAAGTAGACCATCTCAAGCTTATTATAATATAAGTATCTATTTGTTTGTTATCCTTTTTAGAAACGACGGATATTAAATTTAGAGTAGACTATTGAAACTGCAACTTTACACGTTAATATGTGGTTAAATTTGTCAATGAATTAAGTTTCACTAGATATTACACAAAATATTTAAGCAGAGTTTATTTGTACAGTTGGTGTTATTTCATAATTTTTATGACAATAATATATTTGATATCGAAAATGATTTACGTGTAATGCACTTGTATACAAAAAAAATATAAATTTACATATAAATATCTATCTATCTATCTATCTATACTACTAATAAAAGTACCTTAACATAAAAATTTTTTGATTCATTATTATACCCTTATAAAAAATTTTAAATACCACATTATCCTTCCATAGTTAAATAGCTAAATTACCATCATATCCTTAGTGTTTAAATCTTCAAATTACCCTTAACATCTTTTTTAATTCTCTATTCTTTATATATAAATATCAATATCTATGAAACTTTTTAATTGATCATGTTACCCTTAAAAATAAGCATTGATCAGAATATTGACAATTATTGTTATTTTATTCAATGAATTATAAGTTGAAACCTAATCAAATGAATTATTTTTATCTTTTTTTCTTATAGTTAGAACAATGAATCTTTGTGAACAGACAACATTTTTTAAATTCTATAGTGTAATACGAACGATAAAAACAAAATTGTTATAAACTTGAGACGATATTTAATTTAAGTACATATATACCTAAAATTTTTATTAAATTTTATATAAGAAAATTATTCACGTGGAATGCACGTGGTGCATTGCTAGTTCATTTTAAGTGCTTAATTTGAGTTAACAAACACACCCTTTGTTATTGGCTTATCGTACTGTAAATTGTATTAGATAATAAAATTAATATCATATAAATGGATAAAATACAAATTCAAATATAAGATATAAATACAACTAAAAATAAATTTATGACAAAAAAAAATTATTTTTTGTAATTCAGTGTGTTTAGTAATGCTCCGTTTGGTATGATAGAAAAATAGAAAGATGAAAAGTTAGAGAGATAACTATCATGTTTGGTAAGGAATAAAAATAGGAAGGATGAAAAAGTAGATAAATGAGCTTTTTTTTCAACTCATTAAAATCAATCCCTCCAAATTAGAAAGAAAAGTAGATGAAAAATTAATTATTTGTGTTAAAACGCATCTTATATTTCTATATATCCTTTGATATATGCATATATTATGTATACATTAGTTTCATATATAAATATAATGATAAAATATGTATTTATATATATATTTTTAAAGAATTTAAATTAAATTTTAAAAAAATTAAAAATTAAAATTAAAATTAAAAAAATATTTTTTTTTCATTTTATCAAGCACAAAAAAAAAATTAATCATTTTTATTTTCTATCTATCCTATTAAATACAAAGGATGAAAAATATATCATTCCTACCAAACGGAAACAAAAAAATAAGAATAATAGAGTACTAATTATATATCTATATCTATACTACTAATAAAAGTACCTTAACATGAAATTTTTTTGATTCTCTATTTTCCCCTTATAAAAAATTACAAAGACCATTATATCTTTTTAAAATTAAATATTTAAATTATGATCATATACTTATGTATTTAAACTTCCAAATTACCTTTAGCATATATTTTAGTTGTCTATTATCTATGTAGAAATATTGATTTTTATGAAACTTTTTGATTGACTCTATCACCCTTAAAAAATGCATAATTATATTTTTAATATAGAGTTAAAAAATACCTTTAAAAACTCTATTAATATAATATTACTCATCTTATATGTATATGTAACATTATGCTTACATATGTGTATTTTTTCTTTTTCATCAAAAAGTTTAAACCCTTTCATTTCTAAGATAAAAAATAATCATATATTTAATTTTTTAAAATCAATTTATGTTATATTAGTATAATTGTTTAGTCATAATAAACTTTTGAAGTTGTATTAAGATTTTATGTGAAA